CCTGTAATTATTCTCTAAACTACCTTTTGCATTTGCTCATCAGATGTTTTGGATTTTAACTCTCACAATCACCACAGAACAAGCCCAAAGATTGGGATTATGGGAGCAGGAATTCAGTATATCTGAAAGTTGGGAAAGTTTATCCTAGGAAATGTATTTAAGATTTTAATCTTATCTAGGAATAACCTTCATTGAATTGTCCTACTTTTGCATGAGTGCATAGGATTGTGCTTTTAATTATTTCCTGTTATCAATTTTAATAACTATTATATAATTTCAAAAAAGTGCTCCAGATGGGTACACAAAATACAAATTCTTTGTTTCTTTTTGGTGTCTTAGTGTAGTGATTTACTCTTAATCCAAAATAAATTAGAATATGCTCTATTCACCCTGTTAGTACTTTTCAGATTAGCTTGATTTCAGGTTTTTTCTTAATTGCTTTCTTTTCTTACTTCTAATGTACCATTTTTTCTAGTTCTGGCTGGACATTTGAAAAACCATAATCCTTTGTTTATTATAAGCTGTTCACAATCATGATTGCTCCTTGCATCTGCTGTTGGACATATCCCTGGCCCTTTCATTATGCCAGCTGTGAAGCAGAGTGCTGGCATGTTAGCATGTTGCAAACACTGAAAAACACTACTTCCTTTGCACTCCCATAAAATCAGCTTCTTTTTCTCTTTTCATTCCAGCACTGACTTGAACACACATTTCCCCTATGTGCTGGATTTCTATCAGCAAAACTGCCTACCATGTCCCCGTTTCTCAGCTTGTACAGTATTTCTGTCACCCTTCCCAGTGCAAGGAGAAGCCCCTAGAATGAAGAAATGCACAGAAATATAGTCATGCATGGTCATCTTTGTGAGATATATAATGTATATATTGGTCCAATATACTTTTTCATTTCTCTTTTTATTAAGGAATGTGGAAGAAATACTACTATTTATATTAGTACTGGAAGCTCTGGGCAAGATAGACATCAGGTAAATCATATGGAGTGTTAGGTCCACCTTCGTGTCCTACCATTCTGTTGGAGGGGGGGAGAGAAACAATGGCATATCTGGGATGCTTTCGCTTTGCTTTAATGCTTGGGAATTAGAGTGGGGGATGGCCTTTGGAGATGAAGCAGACTCCCTCCCAGCTGGTTCCAGCCTGGTTCCAAGGCAGTCATGCCCTGAGAGTGACCTGTTATCTGCCTAGCACCTCAGCGTTCTCAAAACATATTCACGACATCATGTTGGCTGCAGATGAACTGGTCAGGGTGTGTGTGTTGGGACTTGGGGAAAACAAAAGAATAGCTGTGTGCATTGCGTAGGATCTTCAGATTCCGCCTGACTTTCTTGTAACCGCTTTCTCTCAGTAAAAGTTCTTTTGAGTCAATCGCATGGATTCAAGTGTTTTAATTTCCTGAGGGACCAGCTGGGGCACATCCTTACACGGAATCTCCAAATGATGAAGACAAAATGGGAGGTATGTTTTGTATCTGTTGATGTGGCCTAGTCTCATTCCCTAATCCAAGATCCATTATAACAGCTATTAGGTTTATTTTTCTGACCGTTGCAAAAGAGGCATAAAGTGTAAAAACAGCAACAAAGTAATTCAATGAACATTTTTGAGAAGCCTGCATCTTTATGATGCATTCAAGACCTAAAAGCAGGAAAGAAAAAAAATGTGTTGCTTGCAATGTTTATATTTATTAGGAAACATGCCAAAAGTTCAGCTGAGACCCAAAGTCTCTCCAAGCATTCTGTTTCATCCACAAATTACTTTAGATTTTCTATCCCTGAAGCCTGTCAGGTCCATCTCAGATCCATTCATGTCTCTTCACCCTCCTTCCCTTGTTGAAGGCAGATTTTAGAATTTGGTATTTTCTGTTCATAATGATATGCTTTGAACCAGATTTCACCTGCAACCTTCAAGGAACTGAAAAAAAAAAAACAGAAAGTAAGTCCTGCTTCATTGCTATGAGAATTAAGACCTATTCAGAAAAATCATGCTTCTGATTCAAGCAGAGGATTGAATTCAGAACAAGTGCAGTACATTGAGGACAGAGTGAGCAGCAGAAAAATCTCCCAGTGATTGCTACATCTTCTTTTAGGTATTTGACATGTCTTAACAGTTATCTCTAGTTTGCATTGATGCTTTATGGACTTATATAGCATTATCATAAAGTAGCACTTTATCCAAGCACCCAAATTATAAAGTCCGAACATGGTGATAGGGAGAAGGCAGACTCTGCCCATCTTCAGGAGGCCACCTGGGCATGTAATTTTCATGCTAGCCATATGGAAATAGTTTGCCATTGCCTGCTTCTAGAAGGTTTGGGGTTTTTTTTGCAACTTTACAGTCTAGGTCAGCTGCTCCTAACCTTTTGGGCACCAGGGACTGGTTCCACGGTGAAAGGTTTTTCCGTGGATTGGAGGGGGGGGGGGCGTGGTTTCGCATGCTACCTGCATCTCATGGATGGGGCTTTGCTTGTTTGTGCAGCCCGGTTGCTGGCATGGTCCAACCAGGTGCGGTCCATGGACCGGGGGTTGGGGACCCCTGGTCTAGCTTACATCTTTTTTCTTGATGGCTCCTATCAAAATACTACCAACTTGGATAATGCTTATCTTTTTTCAAGATCACCCAAGTATTGTTGAGAGCTACCACACATGAAAGGCTCTTTGATGTTAACTGATAACTAATTTTTAATTATAACTAATTTTATGAAAGAAGCGTGTAATAGAGCACATGCTTAATGATTAGCATTTCTCTCTTTCTGATACCAGACTTGGGTTTTTTTCTTAAAGGATCTACACCCAAAATCTTTATTCTCATTAACAGTTTAATACTTTGCACAGCAGATTGCTTTTGAAGCCTCTACCCAATGGACTTAGTGTTCAGTTGACATCTTCACACTTTATATATATATGTCTATATCACTGCAAGTTATCATGTCCTTTCTCATGTCCTTAAGAGCAAAACCATGCAGATTTGTCTAGGGAGATTCTCAGTCATCCAAATCATGGTTATCCCAAAGGTGCTTTTTCAAAAGGCAACTGGACTTTCTTGTTTTTCTTTGAAAATGTTTCACTTCTCATCTAAGAAGCTTCTTCAGCTCTGACTGGATGATGGGGAATGGAATGGATGAGAAGCGAAACGACTTCAAAGACAAACAAGAAAGTCCAGTTGCCTCCTGAAAAAACACCTTTGGGACAACCATGCAGATTCTTCATTTGATTTGCTGTTTGGCTAACCTTTATATATTGAATGTTTCCTAGATGCCCAAATCTTCTTCTGAGCTGATAGTCTTTGCAGTCTGATACTTACTGCACAATGTCAGCAAAGCCAGTGAAGAGGGGTTTTGATTGATATTCAATACCATGTTTGGCACACATGGATTTCACCAAAGGAGTCACCTTCCAAAGGTTGTGCCGAGGCATCATAGGGAAGAGACTATAGGCAGAAAGGAAGGTAAAGAATTATGATCCCTTTACTATCTTTTTGTTTTATACAAACTATGAAGCAGTTTCTCATTGATACCTTAAAATGTTTCTCATTGCCCTAAATCTGTACTCACTGGTGCTCAATTTGACAATTCAGGTGCCCCGTTACCCAGTCATTGAAAAAAGATTGATTCACGTTGCATGTTGCCTGAAGCTGGGAGAAGAGAGAAAGAGAGGTTTTAGTCCAGACATACTGTGAATGATGGAATAACAATTTTCAGGCAAATGTCCATGATTTATATTCATGTATGTTTGTGTGTATGTATCGGTATATAATTTGTATTTCTAGACAAATATATTGAATTTTGGAAGGCTTAAATAATATTACCTTAATAGTAGAGTTTAAATACTCATTTGGTATCAAATCTGATAGTCCTCATTGTACAGTTTTGAAAACAAGGAGAATTAAAATGTAATTCTACTAATATGTTTATTTTTCATTTTGTGAAACATTTCTTTTCAACAGTTACTTTCAAATCTTCTCCTTACTTATTCCAGACTGAACCAGGTTGTCTGGTAAGATTTGAACTCACAAGCCTCCTTTTCTAAAAAGAATGTCCTGATCTTGATGAAAACCTGATGCTGGGAATGGAAAAGAGAGAAATGATATCTGCACTGGCCGGTTTCTCTTTGGTGCTATCATCTTAAAATGAGCCCAAAAAAGTTATTTGTTCTGCTCATCTCATTTTCATATTTATAAAGTCCGAACAAAAGTGAAGGCAATCATAACCTATAAGAAAAGGCATGGTATTTCTAAACACACTTCAAACTTTTCTATGATAGGAAAAGCATTGTCAAAAAAAAAATATAGGTAAAAATAACTTCCAAAAAGGAATTCAGTTTTCACCTATGCAAATTATAGTTGATGCTGTGGTAATTGGATTATTATGGTTCTCTGAGTTATTGTGCATATAATAAAATTATACAGAGAAGCTAAAGTTTAATCATGTGCAGCCATCAATTTTATCTTTGAGATCTTTCTTACCTGTGTAGAGAACCAATCCATGTTTTTATCGTGATCAATGTGCATAGGAAGATGATTCAACTGCGATATCCATGTAAATACGATACTCTCAAGAACACTGAGAGACAGAAATGAGGCAAAGTCAGGAAGTGAAACTATATCTACGCAAATCAACCATTAAATAGAACAGTGGGACAATTTATTGGCTTGTTTGCTAGGCTTACAATGCAAATAATTCATTAGACCTGGGGTCCCTATCCCCTGGGCTGTGGGCCGATACTAGTTCATGGCCCTGTTGGGAACCAGACCAAGCAAGTGGTGTGTGAGAGTGCGAAGCTTCATTTGCACATGTGCAGGATTAAGTTGAGCGCATGAACCCATCCCCTCTCCTCCCACTGCCACTACTGCCACGCACAGCCGCCAGCACCACCACTGGTCTGTACAGCCAAAGAGGTTGGGGACTGCTGCACTAGACCTCATGATGCCTTTCTGTGGAAACTAATACCTGTCCAACTGAAACAACCCGAATAACAATTCAAGGCTTTAACAAGACTTTTGTTAAATTCCAGTTGGTTTGTCATTTGCATTTCATTTTTAATTTTAAAACCTCAACCAGTTTCTTTTGAAGATCCAGTGAAACATCCTTTTCTAACTAGTTCTTTTGGTCTATCAGTTGCAAATCCAGTTTCAATACTATCTCCATCTTATCAAAATTTGTTCTAAAAATGACATTTCTTTGATAACATCCTTTGGACATAGTTTATCCATTAAAGCACCATCATTATGACATTATTGATATTATGGCTATTATTTTCTAATTCAGTTCTTCTCCTTCAGTGTTTTTATTTTCATAACATTTTATACTATCTTGCAGGCCTGTATATCTTTCCTCTACTTAAAATCTTTAGTCCCCTCTTGTGTCCAGTTTTTGAAATCATGAAATTATTTATCTGTATCATGTTCTACAAAAACCAAAACAGGATCTATTTCCCACAAGAAGCTCTTTGTACTTTATAATTAATTCCAAAATCTTATTATAAAAGTTTTACTATTCCAATTTTATGTGGACCTTTAGCCTATGTATTACTTTCTAAGATCAAAACCATATTTAACTTTTTGCTGATTATTTCAGATTCTTAAGCTTAATAATCAAAACTTTCTTCTGTTCTAGGTTGAAAGGCAAATTTATGCTGCATTTTCAAACTTGTCATTCTAATAGCTTAGAAGTAGTTAATCAACAATTTCTGAAAGTGATTAGAAAGTGCTGTTTGCAAACTTCATAGTCTTTGAAAATCTCTGCTGCTACTGGGAGATAGGTGGCTAGTCCTGTTGTCTCCGGATACTCAAGCCTGTGGAAAATCACTGTCCTGTGAGGTAGACAATTCAATATGGCACTTAGAATTGAGGACTGCTTCACCTCATGGAGTTACATCAAAGTGGCACTTCATCTAAGGTTCAGTCAAAATGAAGAACCGCTTTGATGCTTTGCATATATGTGATGATTGATTCACATATGCAGATTGTAAAAAAAATGTATGCTGCAGTCAGTAAGTGATGAATGCATGTGCACCAGTCTTCAACAAGAAGAAAATGAGTGTGTGTGTCCTAAAAATAGGGGGGATGTTTTGGGGTTAGTTCAGAACAGCCTTCCACAGCCTGGGCACTCAACTCCCAGAATTCCCCAGCCAACAAAGCCATTACTGCCAATGGTAGAACTGAAGTCACACATATGGAAGTGGTCAAGTTTGGGAAAGGATAATCTAGAGCAGGGGTCTTCAGACTTGGCCCTTTTATGACTTGTGGACTTCAACTCCCAGAATTCCTCAGCCAGGCATGCTGGCTGAGGAATTCTGGGAGTTGAAGTCCACAAGTCATAAAAGGGCCAAATTTGAAGACCCCTGATCTAGAGAATAGTCAGGGTCTGTGAAGGAATGGTGAAACACAAAGAAAATAGTACATATGATAAACAGTACTTCAAAAGAAGGAGGTATCCCAGAATACCCTTGAATCCCAATATGGGGTTGAAGGCAATAAAGAATCGGATAAAATATGCAAAAGTCCATGCCATTTCCTGCAGAAGAGAAGAAAAGGAACAGACATTAGAATAGCATCTTCCCTTGTTCCAAGTAGGGTTAGGGTCAACCTGATGTGACCTTCAGTTGACATGACCTCACCATCACAAGATCTACTGACCACCTGAAACCCTTACAAGCAGAAGAACACCAACAATGCCATCCCTAAACTCTGCTGAATATGTTACCTACCCTGGTAATGAAACGTTCAGAAACCAGCCCACAAGCTCGGAGAATGAACCTCCACCCTTGTTATTTTCAGTAACTGACATGTTTACGTGATATCAGGTGAAAATGTAGAGATTTATTTTAGCTTTGGTTATGCCACAAAATTTCAGCCATTTTTAATTAGGGTGCTTGTCAATAGTGCATGGCAGATCCCCACTTTAAATACGGCTGGAAAAGTCTCTTTTGCCATCACCTCTATTAGAAAAAAAATAAGTCCAACCTGATTTCCAATCCCTCTAGATCGTTTTTTAAAAAGAAAAATGAACCATAACTTTACTTTTGTGTTCAAGCCACCATAAATAATTCCTGAATCAAAGCCCTCAAAATTATTACTTGAGAAAACTGGATTGTAATTCTTGTTCATTCTTAGTTCAACTGATGTCATTGTCCAACTCTATGCCTCCAACTTTCCCTATGCCTTCTACATGTTTGTTTCCTTAGACAAAAATTTAATGTCTTCTTCATAAAAGGCCTTTTGATAGCCAGCAATAGTTCATCTGGAAGCACTTTAGAATTGGGTGGCATTGACTTTCCTATTAACGATATCCCCATGCCAATTTTTATATGGTCCTAAAATGGTTTAGCTTTTTCATTCCCTCTTAAGGAAATAAAATTCTAAACCTAGAAACTTACCATGGGGGAGGGGGGAATCTCAGTATTTTAATATTTGGTATGGATTATTTGCATACTCACCCTCCAGAGTTTGCGCTGGAATATAAAGTACAATGAGTAAACTTGAAAAGTTGGTACTACAAGTAGTGGCAATGCTGTAGAAGGAAACAAGATGTATATAGCCATTAATTGTCCTTTTCAAACACAGAGGAGATATATAGAAACAGGAAGTATCAATTAATGTAACAATATAAAAATAGCAATAGAATAAAATATAAAGTAGAGGCAATAGAAAAACACAGATAAACTTGTAAATTTCACATTTCACTTTTATATCTTGGGTTTTTTTCAAAATAAAATATTTCCCTAACTCTTATAGGAAAATATATTTTTTTAAAAAAACACTTGTTCAGAGTCCAGGGCTTTTGTGGTTCTTGAGACTCAGACTCAAGAATCAATTTAATTGGAGACAGGTAAAAAAAAAACAACCATATGTCAGAGGTCCCCTCTGAACTGCTGTAAGCAGTTATTAGTGGTGGCCACTAGCTTGTTTGGTTTCAAAAAAGGGTTGGTCCAATTCATGGAAGCCATGAGAACCAATGGCTATTAGCCTGGATGGCAGTCTGCCTGTCTGAAGGGAGGCCAGTGGGTTTCCTTGGTAGGTCATTGTGAGAATGGCATCCTGAACCTGTTGGGCCAGAGGTGGGATCCAGCAGGCACCATTTATGCCAGTGGTTCTCAACCTTTTTAATGCCGTGACCCCAACCGGTCGTAAGTCGAGGACTAAACCGGTCGTAAGTTGAGGACTAAACCGGTCGTAAGTTGAGGACTACCCAACCGGTCGTAAGTCGAGGACTTTCCATGCCCGGGAGCGCCGCACATGTGTGGTTCCGCCCCCTGCACCGGCCGAGGCGTAGCTGGCAAGCGGCAGAGACGGAGCAGGTCGACCACCAGCTGGCCCAGCCCAAGGGAGGTAAGGCACCCGCCGGAAAAGGGGAAAAAAATGGCGGACAAAAAAAATGGACAAAAAAAATGGCGGACAGCCTTGCTTGGCAACCCCCGTGAAATGGTTGATCGACCCCAAATGGGGTCCCGACCCACAGGTTGAGAACCACTGATTTATGCTCTTATGAATAAAGTAGTTTCAAAAAGAAAAAGCAACTGCTGGCCAAGAGGATGGAGCATCTTTTGCATAATTTTCCAGTCTCTCTTCCATGGCAATTTTCTTCCACTCTAATTTGATTGTGGATGTCCTCGGTCCTGCCTATAGTATAGAGTACCAAATAATTGAGCAGCTGCAAGAGAAAGTGTGGTAGCCCCTCCAGCTCTCTTTGCACTGCTTAGGCCTAGCCTGCTTTTGAAGACGTGGACTTAGACGCCTCCATCCACCTTAAATGTACAGGGGTGTCTGTCTGCTCTGAGAAAGAAAAGAATTCCTCCTCATTCTCTGCAATGTTCTGCAGTTGCTGCCACTGCTCTTGTTCTCCCCTCCTCCTCCTCCTCCTCTTTATCTTATTACTAATAAGACTGCAAGGAATATAAATTCTTCCATTCTCCACCATTCAGTCAGAACGGAAAAAGCTTCTTGGGTGAGAAGCGAAATGAATTCAGGGAAAAACAAAGTCCAGTTGCCTCTTGAAAAAGCACCTTTGTGACAACCATGAGCTGCATGACTGAGAATCACCATAAGACACTTATCACTAATACGTAATAAGAGTTGTTATTAATCTGCACTGGGCTGGGCATTATGTAGAATGCATATATAATCTGTCCATGAGCTCATGGTGGAAAAGATAAGAGTCCAAAGATGATCCACAGCTTTTTTGTGAAAGTTGTTTTTTTACACACAAAAAACTTCATTTGCACTTAGTTAGAGGTAGGGGAAAAAATCAGATACTCACTGAAGAAAAAATATTTGTGCTGATAGTTATAAGGCATGTATTTCTTTTTCTGCAAACCCAACTGTAAAAAAAAGAAAGTCATGAAAAAACAAATATCCTTCACTAGATAATTATACTTTAAGACTCCATTTTTATAACATCTTTTTCAGCTGCTCTGTGAAATAAATACTCAAGCAAGAAAAAGGGAAAAAAGTGAGATGCACACAACTGTCACAATAATAGACTGCAATTGTGGTAGTTAGAGTAGATTGTAGTCTTTATTTTCAAAGTTTCCAGATGCAGAAACACATGGCAGAGTGAGGTAGCTTTTGAACTAAGTCCTACAATATAAATACGGAAAAAGCATTCTTAATTTTAGATTTTTTAGCCAGGATAGGAAGAGGTCCCTTTTGGTAGCAGAAACACTAGATAAACTTTTGCTAATCTTTCCATTAGTAGAAGGCCCCAAAGGAAAGTATTACTGATGGATCAGGATCTTCTGAATCCAAAGATCTCTATTGTCCCAATATCAGCTCTTCAGCCACACCATCCTATCACTGGCACAATCAATGTGCTGACTGGTGTCAGTAGTGGTGAATTAACAACAAAAAGGGAATCCAGAATCTTAGCTAAAGAGGCAGCTTCTTCATTTTGAGATTTTTATTTTCAGAGATAAAAAAATTTCTATTTCTGCCTGTGAGGCATAAGTAATTCTATATTTTCTTTGTTTTAGAGCAGGGGTGTCATACTCAATTTCATTCAGGGCTGCATTAGCATTGCGGTTGCCCTCAGGGGGGCAGGGGTGTGTGGCCAGGGTGGGTGCGGCCTACTGGGTGGGTGTGGATGGAGTGGGTGTGGCCTACTGGGTGGGCATGGCCAGCTCTACATTCGCGTCAAGGGTGCTTGTGGGGGCCTGGGCAGGAGTGAGACAGATCTGAGGGTCTCTGGCAGAAGGGGGCAAGTGCCAAGGCATGGTCCACTGGAGGAGCCTCACTGTTCCTCCCAGGCCATGTGGGGGGGGGGCTCAGTGGTGCGGGCTGTCGGGAGCCCTGGACAGCAGAGGTCAAATGCCCAGCCTGGCCCTCGAGCACCCGCGGCACCAAGCCCAGCCCCACTTCCCCAAGGGGGCGCCCAGCTGCACTTACCTCCTCCTCAAGGCTGCTGCTGCTGTGCTTGTTCTCCTTACCCAGGTTGCTCATGATGGGTATGAGGGCAAAGTCAGAGGGAGGCCCATTCCCTCTCCATGGGAGGAGACCCAACTTTGTATCCAAAGCTTCCTTAGCAATAGGATGGGAGACCCCCAGGATAGGCCAGGAGGAGGGGGCAAGCGGATGGTGAAAGGGCAGCAGGGCAGGACTAAGGCAGGATTTTCCTCAGACCCTCCCTCCCCTTCTTTCCTTCTTTTCTTCCTTCCTTCCTTCCTAAGTACAGAGTGGTGGGAAAATATTTGAGATGAGGGAGGGAGAAAAACAGGCAAGAAATGCAGCTGGGGAGGTGTCACCCTTCGTGAGTAATGAAGAAGTGGCCAGCACATGGCCCTCACCTACTTCACATAGTGGGCTCTGGGGGAGGGGATGCCATGAGCAGCGTGAGAGTCAATGTTACCTGCGCAATGTCGTCCTGCCCCCAGCCTGCCCGGTTTCGGCAGGCAGCGTGGCACTCTCTTCACAGTTTTGAGAGGTTGTGCCAGGCATTGCGAAGCTCGCCAGCTTTGCACCTTGCTGCCTGCCAAAACTGGGCGGGCTGCGGGCTAGGCAGCATTGCACTTCTCATCAGATTCGTGCCACCAGGCTCAGCTCTTGGCGCTGTGAGGAGAGCGCCCCAGTGCCTGCTGAAGCTGGGCAGGCTGGGAGCTGGGTGGCCTCGCGTTTCTTTTGGGATTTGCACCGCCCGACTCAGCCTCTCGGCACTGTGAGGAGAGCGCCCTACTGCCTGCCGAAACCCCTCCACCAGAGCCCATCAAGCCGGATATGTGAAGTAGGCAAGCGCCATTTGCTGGCCACTTCCAGGTGATGGTGCATTTCTTCATTCCTCACAAAGGGTGACACCTCTCCAGCATGCACCCAGGTGGTGGGGTCGATGCGGCAGGGGCTGGTTCCTCGCTGTTTTCAGACGGCCTTGTGGACCTAAGACTGAATGCGTTTCAGCATAGATGGCCACTACAAAATTGTACATTGGCTCCCGGCTGGTCTGGGCCAGGGCCAAGGCAGCAGGGGCCGTTCCCTCACTATTTCCAGGATGGCTTCGCGGGCCACATGAAACCACTTCGCGGGCTGCATCCGCCCCCCCCGGGCCTTGTGTTTGACATGTCTGTTTTAGAGCCATGGTAGCGCAGTGGTTAGAATTCAGTACTGCAGACTACCTCTGGTGACTGCTGGCTGCTGGCAGTTCGATTCTCACTGGCTCAAGGTTGACTCAGCCTTCCATCCTTCCGAGGTCAGTAAAATGAGGTCCCAGATTGCTGGGGGCAATATGCTGACTTTGAGAGGGCTGTGAAGCACGGTATATACGTCTAAGTGCTATTGCTACTGCTATTTTAAGAAAGAGCCAAGGCAGAATATGCTTATCAAATCTGAAACAACCCACTGAGATAATTCACACAATAGTCAGCCCAATTCATAACATTAACCAGAGAAGGAGCAAACGGGAACAAACAAATAGATGCTTTAGCTCCATAGCACCCTCCATGTTCTATCCTACCTGAGCTGCTAGGGTTTTGGACAAGCAGACAATCTGCTACTTTGCTTCCCTAACACACTTTCTTAAGATTGCACTCATGGCCATAAAAGCTTGCTGATTTCCTCAGAATCCTTTTGTACACACTTATAAAGTCAATCCAGTGAGATAATTACCCAGTAGTCCAATTTATAATATTTATCTATAGCTATGAGCTATAACAGGAGAACCAGTCTGGTGTATCAGTTAAGCTATCAGGCTAGAAACTGCAAGATTTTGAGTTCTAGTCTCTCCTTGGGCAAAGCCAACTGGGTGACCTTGACCAGTCACTTTCTCTCAGTCTTAAAAGATGTAATGAAATTCACTTTTGTTGTGGCCACCTTATCCAGAAGAATTATACTGTGTTTAACTCTAAACATTGACAATGGAGTAGCTAAACAGTTTCTGTTCTGATTGGAAAGGCCAAGGTTCAGTAAAATCTGTTGCTTCTTACCTCCAAAGAAAGAGGTTCCCCTAATGACAAAATAATGGGATGAAATGAAACGTCTGGGTCCTTCTCGAAACAGTTGGGTTTAGCATGATGCTGGGAATGGTGCAAAGACCACCAATTAGCTGAAAGTCCCTGTAGAGGAAGAATGACAGAAAGCATTTAGGCGCTTTTAAAAGATTACTTGACTATTTACTACAGCAGTATTCTGCTTTGAAGAGGCTATATAGAGCAGTGATGGTGAACCTTTTAGAGACCGAATGCCCAAACTGCAACCCAAAACCCACTTATTTAGCACCGAGTGCCAGGTGGGCGTGGCCCACTGGGTGGGCATGGCTGTGGTCACGGCAGACTGGGTAGGTGTGGCCAAGGTGGGCATGGTCACCTCGATGTTGCTCGTGAGGAGGATGCCTGTGGGGGCCAGGCAGGTTTGGGGCAGATCCAGGGGGTCTCTGGCAGGTGGGGTAGTGGACAGGAGGCTTGTCCTGCGGGGTGAGGAGAGGCAAGGTGAGAGAGGGTGGGGGTGCCATTGTTGCAGGGCAAGGCAAGGCATTAGCCGGGGTGGCTGCTGCCTGACACCATCGGCCCCTACGCACAGAGGTCAGCGAGCAAATGAGGGCCCCTCAACCGGCGCTCTCTGGGGCTCCGCAGTCCGCCACCAGCATTTCAGAGATGCTGCCTCTGAGCTGGATGGCCAGCCGACAGTTGAGGAGGCGATGCAGTGGGTCATGCCCGGGAAAAGGAGAGCATGCGAGGCCAGGAGGAATGGGACGGGGGAGAGGGAAACCAGCCATGCTGGGATGCATCCAGCCATGTGGGACCTCAGCGAGTTAGCGGGCGGCTGGTTGAAGAGGGACGGTTGCCATCTCCGGGGCATGGTGCATGTGCCCACAGAGAGGGCTCTGAGTGCCGCCTATGGCACGCGTGCCATAGGTTCGCCACCACTGATATAGAGCATCAATGCTGCTAACATCGGATGTTCTTGCTTTGACAATAGATGAAAATGCAGCCATTTTCTCTTTTTCCTTTTTCTTACTCTTACAATTAGTTGGTGCAGGGAGGGGGGTTTGGGATGCGAGCTCAGTTAGCCATAATAATAACTCTGCCATGGGAACCCAAGGACAAACTGGGTCCAGAACTGATAACGTTTAGGCGGGCTGGAGAGCTGGGGAGAAAGCCTGTGCTTTAAGCTAATTGGGGAATGTGCTTTATGACAATTTATTGTAGGAGGGAATTGTACTTTGATACTTTGTATCCAGGGGAGGGGAATTTAGTTTTTGGGTTCAACTATGTAGTGCCGATACTTTGTTTCCCAAATAAAAGATTCTTTAAGGAAAACAATGCCTCGAAGTTCTTTTGAATGGTTTCATCTGTCGGAACCATGAGATAGAGGAGATTCCACTGAACCTTTGAATCAGATTTTCAAATAAGTTTGAGAGGTTGAATCAGCTGACTCTGAATTATCTTGGAGAGATAACAGTTTGAAGATGAAATGCCCTTTCCAGCTTTGAAGAATCTCAAGCATTTGTTGCATATATGGACAAAGCTGGGGGAATTTGAGTATTGTACTGAGTTCTCTGATATTAACTTTAAGTAGGTGGCAAAGGAGTTTTATCACCTTTTTAAACCCTGTCTATCAAAGCACTGGAAGATGTGCTGCTCTGCCGTTTGTGTATTTAGAGAGATTTGTCTGGGGGAAAAAACAGAATACAAAATTGAGGACTAACTTTATTCTGCCCTGTCTCGCTTTTAATGAATCTTGCTCTTCCTTGCCTTCACACCATTTTATCATTATTATTCTTTTACTCACCTGTAGATTTGTGTCCCTGTTAGATTTGTGTCCAGTATTTTCCTTCCTTATTTATCACTGGCATTTAATCAGGCTTATTGATCAGGGAATGTTATCACCGGGATTTAATCAGGCTTATTGATCAGGGAATGTTATCACCGGGATTTAATCAGGCTTATTGATCAGGGAATGTTATCACTGGGATTTAATCAGGCTTATTGATCAGGGAATGTTATCACCGGGATTTAATCAGGCTTATCTTACAGTTGTACCAAAAGCAGGTGAAGATAATACCTGGTATGCTAATTCTCATCTGATTTCATTGCTAATGTTGATACAAAGATTTTAATAGCTTACAAATAGTTTGTTATTAAAATCGATCAAGCATAGGCCATAGGCCATGGACTGGTACCGGAGTATGGCCTGTTGGGAATTGGGCCACGTAAGTGTTGGGTGAGCTCGCAAAGCTTCATTTGTGCATGTGGGGATTAGTTTGCACACATGAAACCATCCCCTCCCTCCCCACCACCCTGGCCGCTGATGCCAGTCTGTGGAGCCAGGAAGGTTGGGAACCACTGTCCTATATGAATCAGGTCTTGCCACCTTCAGATCTTAAATTTAGATTGGCTCTCAGTTAATTTGCACATTCATATTGTTTATTACAAGTGAAATTCCATTCTTGGTCTGCAGTTAGTAATGAGATAGATGAACAAATAGTTTGATTTAATGTAAGAGAGCTTTCTATGTTCTTTGAGTGGGAATGGGAAAATGGGAATCCCATTTGACACCCCTGTTATAAATAACACAACACATTTGATACTTACTGATGAAACTTTTTCAGGTGTATTTGCAATATTCCATATTCCTTCCCTTCAATTCTGTGGAACATTCTAAGAATAATATAACTTACTTACCTTTAAATGGCACATCACAAATTCATGAAAAAGGTGGTTCCATTTTGGATTGCTGAAGACTGAAAGATGCCCCAAATCATGTTGCAGCCAGCCTGCTTGAGACTAAAAGGAAAGGGTGATACACAACAGAAGGGCCACCTTTTGTCTCACTCCTACATCTCCTGGATTGGAGCTTTCCCACTATATCCAATGGTGTTTGTAATAGCTATGAAAGAATTGTTAGGATAGCTAAAATAAAAGTTCATTCTAGGTTTTTTTTTATTCAGTCAAAGGTGCAGCCACTCAGAGAAACATTCCAAACAGGGTGTGCACAAGAAAGCTTTTCTACAATATAATCATAGATATAAACCATCTTCCACAAACATGATAGACAGTGGGAAAACATGGTTGTTTTTTTAATGATCTATTCCTATCCGTGTTCCATCAAGAGCCGTGGTGGCGCAGTGGTTAGAATGCAGTACTGCAGGCTACTTCTGCTGATTGCCAGCTGCCAGCAGTTCTGCAGTTCAATTCCCACTGGCTCAAGGTTGACTTAGCCTTCCATCCTTCTGAGGTCGGTAAAATGAGGACCCAGATTGTTGGGGGCAATATGCTGACTCAGTAAACAGCTTAGAGAAGGCAGTAAAGCACTGTGAAGCGGTATATAAGTCTAAGTGCTATGGCTATTGCTATTACTGTTCTTCAGAATGGGAGATTTGAGATATAAGATGAGATGGAGCCAATATCCTTCTTTTCTAATGAATCATTTGTTGAGCAGGCCCCTCCCCCATGATGGCATGCTTAAGAGATGAAAATCTTTTTCTCTCACCAACAAACAGCTGATTTTGACACCACAGCTGTTTTTTTGGTAGCTTTGCCCTCCATTCTTTCAACGTGAGACTAGGAAGGACCCAAGAAGAACTTAGGATGATTGTGCACCGATGGAGAACAGGGAGTCTGGATGTCTGGATGTCTGATCGGAAGGTCTGGTCTCTTCCCACATTTTCCCTTCAGTTGCTCATTTTTCTTAAGTATGCCTGGTTTTAATTGCAATTTTTGAAGCTTCACAACCTCTTGATTTATGACTAGTTGACTTTGACCTATTTTATAACTCCTTGTTGGACTTTTATAAAAAAAAATCCTGTTCTTTCATTGCTTATTATCAAATTTTAAACTATTTGTTTTTAACCATAAAGAAGTTGTGGTGGGACTTACATTTACACAGGATGATACTATAAATTTTATTCCTTCTAACATTTTTCTTTTTAAAAATAGTGATATTTATCTCTTAAATTTTGATGGGAAAATTTCCCTTTCTTTAAGGGGGAGGGGAGAGACCCTTTCTCTGTGGAAGCTGTTATCATTTATTTGCTTCTCCTGTCCTTGAAAATAAAAGTGTTTCTCATGCCTCTAAAAGGAGACAAAATAGTTTGGGAGGCAACTGAAAAAGAATGTTCTCCAACTTACAGGCTTTATTTGAAAATATAAACAAAAAGATTGATGAGTCAGTAACAGTTTGGCAAAGTCAAGATGATATCCAAAGGCAGAAAATAATAGCTGAACTGGATTTCCAATTTGAGGAATTGGAATCTGATCTGTTGCTGTGTGTGAAAAAGGAAGTGTTTGGTTTGGAAAATATAGAATTGTCAGAAAAGATTGAAAAGAAAGGAATATAAGAAATTCTGAGATAATGGATACGATGAAAAATGGACTGGACTTTCTTGGCAAGAAGAATGTTGTGTTGTCAAAGAGAATTATTCAACAATGGATGTTGCAGAATTATTTACAATTATTAACTTTGAAAGTGAGATGTAATTGTTGGGAAAATTCCCAATTAAAAACCCAAGCAAAGGTTTCACCAAAGAAAGGTATTTGATCCTGGGCTCAGAGATAATGATTGGGGCAATTTATGGTAAATAAGAAACGTGTAGACTTTCCATGAGTTAATTACAACAATAGACTGTTAATAGAGTGCTTTGAAGATTAATTTTGCTTAACCTGTTTACTATTTTTTCTTTCATATATGTAAGGTATGACAAGTCAATTGGGTTGCAAATAGAGGTACAAGCTTATAAATTTTGGACCTGCTTTGCAAGTGGGGGAAGCTATTATTGTTGCAATAGTTTTGTCAATGTTTAACCATAATATGTGTTTTTATCCTTTTTTAAAAATTCCCATTTTTTCAATGTTTTTGTTTAGTTTTGTCACTGTTTATTTTTGTATTTTAACCTTTTGAATAAAATAAAATTGTTGGCAGAATCATTTGTTGGGCAAAATAAAAGTAGTTTAGTTCTCTAACTGAATTGCTTAATCTTCCTCAACCTTCGTTCTTCCAAACAGTTCAGAGCAAACTTCTGAAGGCTCATAACAACGGAATAGGTGTTATTTTCCTTACAGAGAAATTATTTTCTTTTAATTTAGTTAAAAGATCTTGTGCTGTAGGAATCCTATCTAATGGGAAATTTAATTTTGTCTAAAAATAAAATCAAGCAAATTACCTGTGCAAGGGTCAAACAAAATGTCGCAAGAAGAAAAGGTGTTATAGATGTCCCAAAGTACCACATCACAAACCAGCCAGCAGCATCCAGCAGTAAAATATGCAGAAGGATCAGGAAAAAGAAGAATTGATTTGGCTTGAAGAGTCCCATCTTTTCAACAGTGGACACCAGCTCCCGAAAATCTTCTACTAGTAATTTCTATGGGGAAAAAACGCAACAAATTTGCAGGTATTTTGACTCCATGAATCCTGTATAACTAGCCAGTGGCCCCAACAGTTAACATCAAGAACTCGTGGTGGAATTGCCGTCCGAACTATCCTTTTCCTGCCAAAATTTTTATAGAGAAATTAAGAGGAAACTGCTAGACAATTTACAAGCCACTTTGGGGACATATGGATCATCATTCATCATTCAATTAACAACCATTCAAAGTTACTTATGACCATTTTTCACACTTATGATTGTAGCAGCATCCCACTTGGTCATGTGATCAAAATTCAGAAACTTGGCAACTGGCTCATATTTATGACGGTTGCAATGTCCCGGGGGTCATGTGATCACTTTTTGCAACTTTCTGACAAGCAAAGTCAATGGGGAAGCCAGATTCATTTAACAACCATGTTACTAATTTAACAACTGCAGTGATTAACTTAACAACCGTGGCAAGAAAGATTGTAAAATGGAGCAAAATTCACTTAACAACTATCTAGCTTAGCAACAGGAAATTTGGGCTCAGTTGTGGTCATAAGCTGAGGTCTACCTGTAATGGAGAAACTGACATACATAGAGAAAGAAATGACTGGTGATAATTGGTTTTTCTTGCCTAAATATAGAACCTTACTTTTTTCACCAATGAAATTCAATCTAAAAATGAATCACTTTCTCAAAAAACAAACACATAAATATACTGGATTATATCAATGATTTCATCTTGAAAATCAAAATTAAATTACAGTTTTGGTATATTTAAGTGCCACCAGTAATACTGTTACATGAATTAAAGGTGTTTTTTTTTTAAAAAGTTTAAATATAATGAATAACTTTATAACAAGTAATTTCTAATGAAAGCTAACTTACTAGGAACTGTACATTTCATGACCACAAACTTTTCCCTCATACACAGTTGTTTTAATTCTTGAACTGCTCTATAAATACCATGGCATTAAATAAACCCGTATTTAAACTAAAAAAAAAAAAAAAAGAAATTCAATGGTGAAAAAAGTAAGGTTCTACATTTAGTCAAGAAAAACCAAATGCACAGGTATAGTATAGGGGGTACCTTGCTCAATAGTAGCAACTGTGAGAGAGATCTTGGAGTCCTAGTGGACAATCACTTAAATATGAACCAGCAATGTACTGCAGCTGCCAAAAAAGCCAACACAGTGCTAGGCTGCATTAACAGAGGGATAGAATCAAGATCATGTGAAGTGTTAATACCACTTTACAATGCCTTGGTAAGGCTACACTTGAAATACTGCATCCAGTTTTAGTCACCATGATGTAAAAAGATGTTGACACATTAGAAAGAGTACAGAGAAGAGCAGCAAAGATGATCAGGGGACTGGAGGTTAAAACATATAAGGAATGGTTGCTGGAATTGGGTATGTCTGGTTTAATGAAGAGAAGAACAAAGGGTGACATGATAGCAGTGTTCCAATATCTCAGGGGCTGCCACAAAGAAAAGGAAGTCAAGCTATTCTCCAAAGCACCTGAAGGCAGGACAAGAAGCAACAGATGGAAACTAACCAAAGAGAGAAGCAACCTAGAACTAAGGAGAAACTTCCTGACAGTTAGAACAATTAACCAGTGGAACAACCTGCCTCCAGAAGCGGTGAATGCTCCAACATGGAAGTTTTTAAGAAGAGACTGGATAGCCATTTGTCTGAAATGGTATAGAGTTTCCTGCCTGAGCAGGGTGTTGGACTAGATGACCTCTAAGGTCCCTTCCAACTTTATTATTATTATTAAAATCATAAAATGTGTTAAAATGATTTTATGACAAATTGATATAGCTTTCTTGAGTGTCCACAAGATGGCACCAATTTATAGACTTCTCCAATGCACATACTGATTTGTGATCAGAGGGTTATTAGAAGCCATGGTACAGTGATTAGAATGCAGTATTGCAGGCTAATTCTTCCCACAGCCAGGAGTTCGATCCTGACTGGCTTAAAGGGTGACTCAGCCTTCCATCTTTCCGGGGTCGGTAAAATGAGGATCCAGATTGTTGGGGACAAAATGCTGACTCTGTAAACCACTTAGAGAGGGCTGTAAAGCACTCTGACCTGTTATATAAGTTTAAGTGCTATTGCTATTGTTATTAGTTTTAAAAAAACACAGAGTGTTGTGTTATTGAGAGTGTGGTGTTCAAATAATTATTGTAGTCTATATTTGTTCATTAAATTCATTTATAGAGTGCATTTGTATTATATTCCAAATTCACTTAAATGTAGTATTTTATTACTGTTATAAAATATGTAGTTAATATGGATTATTAATTAATATTAAATATTTATTATTAAATATTTATAGAACTGTTACTGGTGGATGGTACCATCTATGAATCCACCTATATTATTTCTTTCCTATATTACTACTTTCATCACAGTTACATCATTTGATGCCCATTGGCCAGAAGTCCCACCACAGGCCATCCACAGGCATGATCCGTGCTGTTTCATTGCTGTGCCCAGGCCTGAAACCTGACTGAAAAGGATCCAGATAAATCATTTTCTCCAGACTCTCTGAGGCTGCATTGCAACCACCTGCTTAATAATTTTAAGGCTGGGATTGATTAGGTGGAGGCTGAGGAAGGCGACCTGAAAGAACCGGGTTTATTTGCCCAATCTTATTGCCCAGCTGCATTTTTAAAAGTACCTTAGATCTTGTTTGGCAAAATCAGATGGAAGATCATCTGATGGGACATGAAATGAGTTTGCTCTGCATCGGGAGCATGAACAGGATAAAACTGTGTACATTCACTCTATATTGGATACTACCTAGATATGACTTGTTGAAATGACAAAAGCCTCATCTTGTGGGGTTATTTGGGTTCAGGTTAAATCTGTGGATCCTAAAGAAGCAAACCGGGTTCTCTCCGTGTTATTCTCACCGGTGGGTCCGAGTCCTGCTTGCTTAGTGAAAGCAGACAGTGAGATGAGAGGAAGTTGAGTGTGAGTGGTAGTGAAGATATCCTTCAGATGTATTTGGGGAGGATCAAGTGGGGCTTCAGGGCAATGAAGTGGAGAGTGGAAGGGAATGAAATGGCAGATACTAAGATCACTTCATAATTAAAAGTCTGCTGAATGAAATGGACTTTTACTGTTTTTATAAATGCCAAGAGATTGGGGTGAAGTACAAGGGCAATGCAGAAAGATTGAGGAATACTTTATAAAAATCTCTTTTGTTGACCTTAATAGCAGATTAGTTTTAATGACAAAAGTGATCTTTGAGTCAAGCCTTATAATATTTTCTTTTAAATATTTTATTAAGTTTATATAAATGAAGAAAAAGTAGGAACAATACAGGTATGGGGAGGGAAGGGGATGAGGGATTTAGGATAGAATAAGGGTAGGTACAATAATCTCGTACTTTAACAAACAAGCTACTGTCCGAATCATAATAGTGAATAAATATAATTTATATCATACTCAGCCATTTTAAAATAAGATTAACTATATCCATATTACTAACAATTAATAAACAAATAAATTCATCTATGTAAATAAACATAAGTAGTAAAATCTCAACTAGTCATAATTATCAACATTAACGGTTAAGAATCACTAAAAATAAAGATGTTATCAACATATGAACTATAACTCAATTAAAAATCCATCATCTGTTCTGTAATATTAAATTCTTTTCAGATTCTAACGCATCTCTAACCATTGATAAATTTTTTCCCAAGTTTTAAAATAAACTGAATCATCTTTCTCTTTCATCTCCAATATTAATCTATCCATTTCTGCACAATCTAAAATTTTAGTAATTATAGACTGGTCAGATGGTAGATTTTCATTTTTCCCAAATTGTGCAAATACTATCCTTGCCGCTGTTAAAACATGTAATATCAAATAGTCATTCTCTTTACCATAATTAGGTCTTAATATTCCTAGCAAAAACAATTCCGGTTTAAATTCTATCTGTATTTTCATCATCTTTTCCAACCATCTATGAATCTTAAACCAATACTTCTTAGCATTAGGGCATACCCACCAGGCATGGTAGTAAGTACCTGGCTGTTGTTTACATTTCCAACAAGTATTCGATACATTTTTAAACATTTTCGCTAAGCGAACTGGTGTCATATGCCATCTATAAAATATCTTATATAAGTTTTCTTTATATGCTGCTGCTTTTGTAAGCATAATATTTTTATCCCAAAGTTTTTGCCAATCTTCTAAATCTATAGAATATCCAAAATTCTTTGCCCATACTATCATTGTCTCTTTCACTTGTTCTTCTTCCATCTTCCAATTTAGAAGAAATTTATAGAGTTTCTTAATCAAATTCTCATCCGTTTTTAACAGAATTTTATCTAATGGAGTCTGTTCTTTGTAAAATCCTGTTGATTTTATATCTTTTTAGTATCTTGTTTGAATTTGCAAAATAGGACCACCATGTTAGGTCAATACCTTGTTGTTGAAGAGTTTGCCTGTCCTTAAGTTTTCCATCTTTATCCAAAATATCTTTATAACTAACCAGTTTATCATAGTTAATCAGGTTTGGATAAGTGCTTCCGGTGCCATCGTTGGCTGTAGACCCTGAGACATGACTCTCCGTTCCCAGGGTCCAAATTTCTTTCACTGGTGGGTCCATCAGGGCTGAATGCCACCCTAGAGGGGTGGTCACTGAGAGGTGAATTCTTTGAGGAAAGGGAGCCGGTGGTAGCTGGCTCTCCAAACTCAAAATAGCCTCTCGAACTGGCGAGAGAAAGGCGGTGAGCTTTGCATTTGCCACCATCTTCAGCAGGTCATCAGAGACAGGAGTCAGCTGTTTCAGGAAACAAGCAACTGGTCTGGGTGAGATGATATCAGTTTTTGTTGCAAAGTGGACCTTTGAGAAAACTGCCTGCCTTTAAAGTAAAGCTGGAAGCCTAAAGGGAGGAGGAGGAGGGGATTTTTGCTTCTCCCCCCTCCCAAAAAGTGGCGGTTTAAGCGTTTTAAAACTTTTGAAAACTTTTCGATCTCAAGCTAAATTGAAGGAATCAGCTTGTTTCACTATAGAGGGAAAAGAAGATTTATTACTATCTTACTTGGGAAAAGCCACCTTAATTGCTCTTTTTAAGAACTTTTTAGAACTTTAGTTTTGTGTATTTAATGTTGGAACTTTCTCTTTTTCTTTTGCTTTCTCCCTATCTAAACGGCGGGGAAAGAAACAGCGTTCCCTGGTGGTTATTTCGCAACTCTTTTCCTTTGTTCTTTTTTTATATTAACTTTGTTGATTCAACTGCAGAGTTTGGCTTAATGCCCAGACACTTGGCTGTATGCCCAGACATTTTTATCTCTCTTGGAGATTACTAAGAGAGACTGTTTTTCTTTTTTTGTTTTTCTTCTTGCTTTGTGTCTGGTTTCCTTTCTGGATTTTCTTTATACTTCTCAAAATAAGGGAAACTACAAAAGAAGACTTGTAAGTCTCTAACTGGATTATAAATTGGATACTGTTTTTTTCTTTTTTTCCTCTATTGTTCCTTTTTTGTTAGCTTTGCTGTGTAGATATAAACATATTTTTTATGTTCCTCTTTTTCATTTTCTTTTCTTTGTTTAGAGACTCTGCATTCCTTTTTATATCTTTTCCTGCTTTTTGACAATATTTTTATTGGATATTCTTACTTTTATTTTTACTTTTTTTGGCTTTTATACTTTTTTAAACTACCTTTGGCCCTGATACTTGATAATAGGAGGGCTTTGGATTATAATTTTTCTTTTTTACTTTCTTTCCTTTTTTGAGCTATTCGGTGGATTATAATTGGCCATCGGGCTCTACTATTGGATTATAACTAAACGGGCCATCGGGCTTGATGTTGGATTACAGATAAATACAATAATCAGAAGATGAGTGTTTCAAATTTGGCAAAAGAGGTGAGGAAGGGTTCCTCGGCTCCTGCATCAACCTCAGTGAGTCCAGTGCCACAAAAATCAATTACAACATTTTTACAACAGGACACTCAACACAAGGATACGCAAGCCATTCTCCAGGCAACTGTAGACTTTAAAATGGAAATGAAAAAAGACTTTGAAAAAAATTATGAAAACTTGAAAAATGATTTGCTTAAGATGGATCAAAAAATGGAAGCCTTACAACAGGCGATGTCAGATACTCAACAAAGAATGCAAAAAATAGAAGACAAGTCAGTAGTAGTGGATCAGAAATTAGAAGCTCTGCAAGATGAAAATCAGAGATTGGCGCAATCTAATGCAGAGCTGGAAGAAAGTATGGCGATGATGGAGATGGAAAGGGCATCATACTTTCTAAGATTTCAAAAAATGATAGAAGAGAGGGATGAGAACCTGTTAGAATTTCTTTGAAAATGCTAATAAACCAGGGAGATGGCTTGCATATAGATTGAAAAAAGAAAGAGAAAAAAGATTAATAAGTAAGCTATGGGACTCAGAGGGTGAATTACACTGTCATAATGATTTAATGAAAAAAATTACGAAGGCTTACTATGAGACACTTTATAAGGCAGAGATGGTTTCCAAAGAGGTAATTCAGGATTACTTAAAAGAAGCAAACCTCCCAAAGGTTCCTGAGAATATGCGGCAGAGGCTGAATGAGAATATATCAATGATGGAGATTACAGAGGCAATAAAAAAGCAAAAGAAAGATAAAACACCAGGACCTGATGGACTTCCTGCAGAATTTTAGGTAGCATTACAAGATATTATAACTCCAACTTTGAAAGACTTATGTAATGAAGTTTTTACACAGACGAAAATACCGGATTCATGGACTGAAGCTAATATTACTTTGATACCTAAAGAAAATACTGATCTTACACTAATTAAAAATTATAGGCCAATATCGCTACTAAATGTGGATTATAAAATTTTTGCTGCAACAATGGCAGAAAGAATGAAAAATTTTTTGACTGAATTTATTCACTCAGATCAAAATGGTTTCCTACCAAAAAGACAGATAAAGAACAACTTGAGGATTATTTTAAATGTCTTGGAATATTATGAAATCTATCCAGGGAACCAGATGGCATTTATATTTCTTGACACACAAAAAGCTTTTGATAATTTAAACTGGCAATTTATGTTTCAACAACTTCAAGAAATGGATTTTGGTGAGAATTTTATTCAAGCAATTCAAGCAATTTACAAGAAACAAACAGCAAGAATACTTTTAAATGGAGATTATACAGATGGATTTGATATTAAAAAAGGTACTAGACAGGGATGTCCACTGTCTCCCTTGTTATTTATTCTTACACTAGAGAAATATTAGACAAGATACGGAAATTAAAATAGAAATTTTAGAAATATTAGACAAGATACGGAAATTAAAGGACTGGAGATTAAAGACCAGAAATATAAACTACAGGCTTTTGCGGATGATTTGGTTTTTATTTTAGAGGAGCCACTGGAAACAGCCGATAAACTCTTGCAGAAAATTGAGAAATTCGGAGAAGTGGCTGGACTGAAAATAAATAGGGAAAAGACTAAAGTATTAACAGAAAACCTAACAGATAAACAGAAAATCCAACTTGCTAAAATGACAAACCTTCAAATAGTTAAAAAGGTTAAATATTTGGGCATTTATTTAACTGCAAGATATACTACATTAAAAGAAGATAATTATGAGAGATTAATGAAACAAATAAAAATAGACTTTGAAAAGTGGGAAAATCTTCAATTATTACTGCTAGGAAGAATAGCGACTGTTAAGATGAACATTTTACCAAAGCTATTTTTTCTATTTCAAACAGTTCCTGTTAAACTGAGTAAGAAATTTGTTGATGATCTAAATGCAATGATTTTAAGATTTATATGGCAAAGAAAAAAAGCTAGAATCAAATGTTAACTGTTACAAAAAGCTAAAGATAGAGGGGGCTTTGGATTTCCAGATTGGAGACTTTACTATCAAGCAGCTATTCTGCTTTGGCTCACAGAATGGATTGCATTGAGAAATAAAAGATTGCTTTATTTAGAGCAGTGTTTCTCAACCTTGACCATTTTAAGGCATGTGGACTTCAACTCCCAGAATTCCACAGCCAGCATTGCTGGCTGTGGAATTCTGGGAGTTGAAGTCCACATGCCTTAAAATAGTCAAGGTTGAGAAACACTGATTTAGAGGGACACAATCTTCAACTAGGTTGGCATACTTTTATATGGTATGAGAAAACAAAAGCGCATAAATATTTTCAAAATCACGCCATAAGAAACGTACTACTTTCAGAATGGGAGAAAATCAGACATAAAATATATATGAAAATACCTGAGTGGCTTTCAACAATGGAAGCATTCGCTTAAGCCTTATAATATTTAAGGCTTTGCATTTTAACACCATAGGCCACTACCTCAATTTTCTGTCTCCAAACTTACATTTTTACTAGGTTCAAAGCTGGGCTGATCAGGTGCCAATTCCCCAATCAAAAGTGACGCCATGTGCTTCCTTACTAGAGTCTTGTCAACATGAAAGGCTGTGAAAGGATCCTAAAGCATAAAGAAAAAAAGAAAAAAGAAAAAAATATTATAATAAAGAACCAGTTTAAAGGCAACCTGGAAGAAACATGTTTAGGCTAAGTGATTATACTTGAGTTTTACCTTTCTTCTTTCCAATTCAAGGCATAACAGACATAATGCCCAGGAGGTGTTTGACCCAGGATGAAATTATTTTCCTTCAAGAACTTTTTAAAAGTGAGCTTCAATGTGCTCTCAAGCAAATACCAAAAAGAATCTTTTGTATATTATGGGCAATTTCAATACAAAAGTAGGCCAAGGAGAAGTTGCAAGAATAGTAGACAAATTTGGGCTGGGAGAATGGAATGAAGCTGATGATTGCCTAGTGCAGGGGTGTCAAACTCAATTTCACTGAGGGCCTCATCAGCATTGCGGTTGCCCTCGGGGGGGCAGGGGTGTGTGGCCAGGGTGGGTGCGGCGTACTAGGTGGGCATGGCCAGCTCTACATCATTCGCGTCAAGGGTGCCTGTGGGGGCCTGGGACAGATCTGAGGGTCTCTGGCAGAAGGGGGTGGGACCGGGGCAAGCGCCAAGGCATGGTCCATTTCTTCATTCCTCACAAAGGGTGACACCTCCCCAGCATGCACCCAGGGGGCAGGGCCAACACGGCAGGGGCTGGTTTCTCGCTGTTTCTAGACGTCCTTGTGGAGCTAAAATTGAATGCGTTTCAGCATAGATGGCCACCACAAAATTGTACATTGGCTCCCGGCTGGCCTGGGCCAGGGCCAAGGCAGCGGGGGCTGTTCCCTCATTGTTTCCAGGATGGCTTTACGGGCCACATGAAACCACTTCGTGGGCCGCATCCGGCCCCCGGGCCTTGTGTTTGACATGTCTGGCCTAGTGCAATTTTGCCAGGAAAACCATCTCAGCATAACGAACGCACGGTTTATTCAACACAAGCAACATTTATATAAATGGACAGCACCAAATGGACAACATTCAAAATCAGATAAACACTGGAAAAGTTCAGTTGCATCTGTTAAAACACTTCCTGGGGCTGATTATAGCTGATTGTAGCTTAGACCATCAGCTATTAGTGGCTAAACTGAAGCTCAAATTCTGCAAGGTGAAAAAAAAGGTATTTCACAGCCTGTGTCAAGAGACATGGACTACATGTTAATGGCCTCAGGACTGGGAAAAAATATGTTTTAATCCCACTAGTAAAGAAAGGTGATGCCAGCGACTGCTCCAACTATCGCAAGATTGCATTGATTTCTCATGCCAGCAAAAATCATTAAACAGAGGCTACAGAATGTCATTGATCAAGAATTACCTATCCTATCCTATCCTATCCTATCCTATCCTACCCTACCCTACCCTACCCTACCCTACCCTACCCTATCCTATTCTATTCTAAAGTTGCATATCTCGGTCATTCATCTTTCTTCCAATTTCTTGAGTAATTTGTTCCTCTTGCTCCTCTCTTGTGACATCCTTAGAACATAGTTGATCTAAAAAGTGAAATATTATGTTTAAATACTTTTTCTAAAATAGCTTTTGCCTCTCTGACTCACTTAGATACCTGGTGCTGCTTCATCTTCTTTTATTCTTTAGCTCCCTCTTGTGTCAAAGAATAAATCCTTAAAAATAGTTTTTGTGGATCAGTAGCCATGCTAATTTTGAAGAGTTTTGCAACAGTAGAAATAACAGTCCCTGAGTCTTTTAGTTTCTTCAATCTCTGAATGATCTCAGCTTGTTCCCATGGATAAGATTAACAACGGATGCCATTCAGCTTTCATCCTCATTTCATCTTGTGCATAATTTTCTTTGCTTTTCCTCTCAATTCTTTAATATATTGAATTTTTCTGCAACAGCTTGTCCAGTCTTTGTTTGTCTGGAATAAATCCTTGAGAGTGCCTTAATCAGGGTATTTTGTTTTTTAAAAATGAATAAAAAGTCCTCTTGATGATGTTACCTAGCCTGGTAACGAAACGTTTGGGAGCTAAATGGCAAGCTCAGAAAGCAAACCATTGCCAAAATCTAAAACCTGAGCTACAAGTATTATCTATTATTTCAATGAACAAAAATGTATAAATAGGTTAAAAAAAAACTTAACTTCATTACAGCAGTTCAACAACTTTATTTGCTCTAAGATGAAGAAAAAAAAGAGTCTGTGCTGATCAGAGAGAGTGTTTAACTCAGGGCTTCCCAAGTGATCAGTACTGATCCACCAGTGTTGATGGAATTATCCAAGGGGTCGGTGTCATTGTTATTATTGGTGGTATATTAGTTAGAGTAGTATTTATTAAATTAGCTTCCTACAACAAATGTTTTGGGGATTGATGAGTAACCTGAAACTGCATGAAGGGGGTGATTGGCTGAAGAGTCTGGGGACTCCTGATTTAACTAAAAATCCAGAAAAAAAGCCTGATAATGAGATTACACTCCTGTGTCATCCCATGAGGTTTAACTGTGGAGTACCTATCATTTCATTTGTCATCGTCAAAGCAACTAGTTTTGTCATGATCCTCAGCTTCTGACAATTACTGTATAAATCTGGTAAAGAAACCTGTAATTCTATTCATATTTATTCCAATAATCTTGGAATAAAATATATTTAATATGCATAGAATTGGGTTTTTATTATTCATAATTTTAATTAGTTAAATGAAAAATTGTATATAACCAACAGTCTTTTTCTTTATCCTTAACTGTCCAGAAAATTAGTTATAGTTCCATCAAAACAAAAGAAACCTTCCCAAAACGTAGACCCAACCTCAGCATAACCAGTGAAAGAAATGTGCTTTGGCTGCTCTAAAATTCAACAGAAAATCAGAAAGGAAAGATTGTTTGTTATATATGATAGATTGATTGCTATTGTTTATTTCTTTAAAGAAGGGAGGTAAGGGCAAAAAAGGAAAAATGCTGTATTTTATTTTGCAATTCTCCAGATTCAATCATATTAAGGATATCTTTATGCAAACAACTATAACCTGACACTTAATATAGTACAGAACTATGTTCAATTTGAAAGAGGCCTTAGCTGGATGGCAGGTTCGCACTTTGTCTTCTCCCAACAGAGCTGGATATCCTTTCTGAAGCTGCAGGGAGCAGCTGTCAGTTAGTGTAGATGAGCAGGGAAGCAGGGGCCATTGAGATAATAACACCAACTCTCAGTATCTCAGTTCTGACTACACTGGATGGATCCCGGAAGTTGCGGAATTCTGGAAGGCTTTAAATTGCTTATCCCTAAAGTAGAATATTCTGAACTAGTTAGATTAATAGTGAGACTTGGCATGGCAGTTTGCAGTGGGTATGCAAATAATATTGATTGCTGCCTTCAGTTAGCATGGCTTGCAATGGAATCAAAGATGCACAGTTATGTGAATTTGGCTGTATATGAAAGAGAATAAAAGAGTTTTGTTATTGAATTCCGGTTTGGTGGGCGATGAGACGTATGGAAGAAGCCAGGGCTCCGGCTTCCCAGCCCGATTTTGTTCTGCCTGGCGACCCCAAAGGGTCAGAAAGTTACCCTGGAGGGGCAACGAAGAAGGAGGGATGTCTCAGGAGTTCGGACCAGATGGCAGTCAGTCCAGGCGGACTGAAGAAATCATCTGAAAGGACGGAGGAAAGGCTGCCGGGTGAGCCCAGGTAGCCCAAGTCATCACTAGCCAGAAGAAAAGCGAGGAGCCATGGTGCTCCACCAAACAGCTGATTGTCAACAGCGTGCTGAAACTGGGTGAGCCAGTTCTTTTTCATTTTCCTTTTGGATTTAAAAATGTTGATCCCCTGACTGGGAAAAGCTAAAAAGTAAAAACCCCAGAAGGACTAAGATTTAAAGGCGGCGAGCAACTACAAAGCGGGAAGATTTTTAAGGAATACAAAAGAACTTTCAAAAATTGAACACAGATTGATTTAAAGAAAGACCATTTAATCTACAAGAGGTGGAAGATTTTTTAGGTGTAATTTCAAAGGTAAATAACTTATAAAGAACTTTAAAAGAAAAACTTTGTAACAATCTTTTAAAACCAGATATTGATAAAACAGTGTATGAGGACATGTAGTGGTGAAAGAAAAAAATACAGTATTATTAAATAATAAAAGAATTTGAAAGTATTTGACCTTGAGACAACACCTGGTGTAAACAAAGTGACTTTGTGTGAATTTACAAGTGAAAAGACTTTGTATAACTATATTTGTTGACTCTGGATATAACTAAAATAGGAATTACTTGGAGACAGCGAACATTTTACATCGGAGACTCGACTGGAGGAGTTGGATTTGACCTAAAGTAGTTGGCCCAGGTTTTTTGGGTTGGATTTTAGCCTAAGATAGTTGGCTTTTTTTCTTTTTGCTTGTGGCATTTTGTTTTTTCTCCTTGAGATATTGGATTTAGCCTAAAGTAGTTGGCTCCTTTTACAATTTGGATTTTACCTTAAGATAGTTGGCTGGAAAGATGAGTACATCAAACATCACTAGACTTATGAAAAAAACCTCTTCTGCACCCTTTGTTGGAACACCTAGTCCAACAACCCAGGGATCCATTGAAACAATGTTGCAGCATGAGAAAATAAGCACCACCCAAAATGAGATGCAAACTATATTAAAATTGATTCAAGAATCAATGCAAAAAAACTACGAAGAGACAAAAAGTAACTTTGATAAATTAAGCAAAGAAATCTTGGCTATAAAGACACAAATTTAAATTCACCACCAAATGATTGTCAAGAGTGAACAAAGAATTTAGAAAATGGAAAATAAATCAGATGATATTGATAAAAATGGAAATATTATTGCAAGAAAATGAAAAATTAGAACAAACAACCAAAATCTAGAAGGAGCGGTGGTGATCTTAGAAATGGAGAAGGTGGAACACTACTTAAGATTCCAAAATATCCCTGAAGAGAGAGAAGAAAATATAGCAGTTGTGATTACTGAGCTTCTGACAGAGGCTTTGAAAGCAGACAGAGCAGAGATGCAAATGGAGATAGATGAAATATTTCGAATAAACTCCAGCTATGCGAGGAAATATAAACTACCCAGAGAAGTGCATGTGAGATTTATAAAGAAAACAACAAGAGATGAAATACTGAGAAAAGTTAGAGATGAGCCATCACAATACAAAAACAAAGAAACTGTGGTCCTAAAGCAGATACCCAAGAAAGTAAGAGATACCCGAAGACATTATCATTTCCTAACCAAAAAGCTGATTGCAAAAGGCATAAATTTTAGATGGTTAATGCCAGAAGGGATTTTAATCAACTGGAATAATACAAGATACCGATTGTCCAACCCCCTGCTCAAGCAGGAGACCCTATACCATTTCAGACGTCCAGTCTTTTCATAAAAACCTCCAGTGATGAAGCACTCACAACAACTGAAGGCAAGCTGTTCCACTGGTTAATTGTCCTCATGGTTAGGAAGTTTCTCCTTAATTCAAGGTGGTTTCTCTCCTTTATTATTTTCCATCCATTGTTTCTTGTCTTGCCTTTTGGTACTTTGGAAAATAAGTTGACCCCCTCCTTTTTGTGGCAGCCCCTCAAATACTGGAATATTGCTATCATGTCACCCCTAGTCCTTCTTTTCTCTAGACTGGCCATTCCCAAATCTTGCAACTTTTCTTCATGTGTTTTTGTCTCCATGCCCTTGATCATCTTAGTGACTCTGGCTGCATGATCGAACCCCAGGCTGTTTTACATACATAGTGATTCATGTAAAAAGGGGCAGGGTTTTGATTATGCTGTCATGACTGTCATCTTGATTCTTTTGACATTCCCCCAGATACCCCTCTTCCTCAACCCCCCCAAATAAAGAATTTTTTTCAAGGAATATTTCAGCCAGTCGTCTCTCAAAAATTCCTTTTCATGCAGAAGATTTTTACCTTCACACATTTCATTTCTGTCCTGTTGAAAGGAAAGATGCATATGTGAAGATGACACATACAAATTGCAAGATGATCACTAATCATTTTACAGGCTTACTTCCAGTTGCACCATCATTCTTAAAATATTAAGTTGTCATTAAGACGATAAACATTGAGAAGCATTGAGTGCAACAAACAGGCACCCCACCACACAGTAAAAATCACAGCTCCCTACAAGAAACCAGACCACATTTCAACAACAGCCATCCATCCAAACAACCCAAAACCAGACCATGACTCAGACTTTCTGATGATATTCAATATATAATTGCTTATAATTCCAAAATCTTTCTCACATGTATTATCTACCTGGGTTTTTTATTTCTGTTTTCTAAATGAAACATTTGCATTTGTTTCTATTAAATTTCATTCTAGGTTTTTTTTCTTCATTCAACTTCTCTAATGTTTTCAAAATCATTGATTTTATTTCTAATTTCTAGAATATAATTGCCAATTGTGAAACACCTGCAATTGGATAATCATTGCCAGCACCTATTCATTCACATAATGAATAAAGATGATAAAATTTAGAATGATTTGGAGGCCAATTCTGGATTCATCAACTAGATACACTCTTGTGATAGGATTTTTTTGCCAAGTATTTGCCTATTACACTTCCAAAATCTACTAAGGAATTGTATAATAATAATAATAACAGAGATTAGTTTAAGAGGAATTGTTCTTAATGATTCCATACTGATTTCTTGTCATTTTTGATTTGTCTTTTAAGTTATTAACTACTGATTATTTTGCAACCTGTTCTAAACTATTTCTAGCTGACTTTTTTGTAGTTCCATGAGGTCTTCCCTATCCTTTATCTCCACAATAATCATGAAATATTAGCCTTCTCCATTCCTTTCTCCAGGATTTTTCAGAGTCAGGAGACATTGAGTCATGTTATGGTTTACAGAATTGGCCTGGCTTACAAGATCATCCCTGAAGAAGCTGCTTCTAGTTCCCCACTGTAAGCAGCAGTACCAGTTCTGTGGTAGAGTTTTTCAGGAGAAATCAAAACGATCATATTTGGGAGGATGTAGACAACTGAATTGTTCCACAAAGCATTCTATTCTGACTTAACCATATTTTATTTGTTTTTTTTTAAATAAAAGTTTGATTTATCTGATTTTTTTGTGTTTGTGTGTGTGTATGATTATGTTGGTTTCTGTTGTAATTGTTTTATTTTAATATTTATCATGGACGGTTTACAGTTTATATATGTAAACTCTCAAGAATTTTACTTGGATAGTGGCATGATACAATTGGAATCAATCAATCAGTTTGACCTGGAGATTCAGTTTCTGTCTTTTCCTTTCAGGGAAACTAGATTCTTTAATTTGCTCTTCTGAATTACCCAGTGAAATAAATATCCCCTTCTCTGAAAACTCTGAGCCAAAACAGGAGTTGAGAAAATGTTTTTCCTTTATTTTCTTTCATGCCTGTTATTTCTTTACTACCTTTATTGAACAATTAATATACAGGGGGTTTTTCCTCTGCAATTCATCTTGAATGTATTATTTTAGAACTAATTCTTATGCTTTGGTCATATCCACTAGTCATTCCTTTCAGGTTAGTTATTAGTACAGGGATCATCCAATGCAGATGAGAGCCCTACATAGAAAAAGAGATGCCAAATGTTCAAGCAGGCTTTAGAATAGGCTGAGGAACATGAGACATTATAGATGATGCATGATGGATAATAGAGAAAAAATACTAATACGTCAATATATGCTTCCTTTATCATAGAATGGCTTTTAATTTTGTCAATCACATTAAGCTGTTGAATAAGCTTACAAAAATGGGAATCCCAAAATATCTCACTGTTCTTATGAAAAGCTTATATACTAGTAAAGAAGGGTCAACATGAACATAACAGGCTGGTTTCAGGATGGCAAAGGAGTGCAACAGGGCTATACAGTATACTCTCCCTTATTTATTCAACCTATATGCTATATATACTATACTGTATATTAAGGGAAACTGATTTGGAAGATCTCCGTGGTTGTACAATTGGAGAACAAACATCAAGAATCTGGGCTAGGCTGATGACACTATCCAAATAGCTGAAAATGCAGAGGATCTGCAAGCTCTAATAATAAAAGCCAAGGAGTACAATGGGGAAAAAATGAGACTAAAATAACATATAAAGACCAAATGAATTACAACATATAGAAGAACCAGCCTTAGAACTGATAATGAAGGTATTGAAGTGTTAGATAGCTTCTGTCTTTTAGGATCAACCATCAACAGTACAGGAACAAGCAGTAAGAAATCTGCCACAGATTAGCACTTAGTAGAGCAGCCATGAAGGCCTTGGAAAAGTTATTCAAATGCTATGATATGTCTATATCTATAAATATCAGAATTGTGCAAGATATGATATTTCCTATGACACTTTATGGAAATGAAAGTTGAGTTTTGAAGAAGCAGGATAAGAAGAGTATTGATGCTTTTGAACTTTAGTGTTGGAGAAGACTCCTGAGAATGCCATGGGCAGCCAAGAAAACAAATCAATGGATCATTGGAAATTAAACCCAGAGTTCTCACTTGAGGACAAATAACCGGGTTAAAGTTATCCTACTTTGAACACATTATGCAGACTCTGCTCTACGGAGAAGATTCTAATGTTGGGAAAAGTGGAAGGAACTAGAACATGACCAGCAGCAATCTTCCAGTTACACTGGAAGATCTAAACCATCAGATTAGGGACAGAATGTCATGGAGAAAATCAGTGATTAGATTAAATTGGATTAGAGCAGGGCTTTTCAACCTTTTAACCGACTGTACCACTTTTAGGCTATGGCAATATTCGAGTACCACCTAGCAAGGTGTCAAAAACTTGATGACCAAAAAAAACAAAAAACCTGTTCAAAGTTGCAATTGCACTGAAATGACTTATGACCACTTTTCACACTTATGACCATTGCAGCATGCCCAGGGTCATGTGATTTATATTTGGATGCTTGGCAACTGATTCACATTTATGATGATTACAGTGTTCCAGGGTCATATGATCCCTTTTTTCAACCTTTTGACAAGCAAAGTCAATGGCAGGGCTGCTAGTGGCCAAGTGCTAAGGCGGGACTTCCTTCCCTCCTTCCCTCTTTCTCATGCCCACCTCCTTCTGAAGGAAGAATTTGAACCCCCCCCATATTTTCCCTCTTCCATATATTCATCAAACAAGGAAAAGCCTCCAGAGACAGAAAAGTGAAGCTGTTGAGGGAACTAACTTAAAAACTAACTTTAAGAATTAGCTACTGGCTAGAAAGGAAAGTTAATTAGTGCAGCTGGCACTTAAGGAAGAAAAAAAATGTAGTAAGTATTGGCTGCCGGCTAAGGCAGCCTCCCCAAATGGCTCCATTCAGAAGTAAAGGAATGCTACAGGCAAAATCCATTCAGGAGAAAAATACTTCAAAATCCCTTGCAGCAAAACTTACAGCTAACAATAGCAGAACAATAGAAGCTAACAGGAGCCATCAGCCAAATAGAAATTGCCAAACACTCCTTAAGAACACAAAGCCCACATTGCACAAATCCCAGAACTTCAAAGTCACAAAAGCACATAAGAATCCTTCCACTCTCCATCTCCCTCCCTCCCTCCCTCCCTCCCTGTCTTACCTCCAGCTGATGCTACCTTTCTTCATTCCTCCTGGAGGGCAACCCCTCCCCTGCTGCAATTCTTGCCTGTTCGTTGCTGCCAGCAGAGGTGGCTGCTACAGAAGTTGTAGATCGGCTCATGGCCGGCCTGCTTGGCCTGCTTGGACTCCTTGATCTCCTCTCCTCTCCCCCCTCCTCCTTCCCCTTTGGTGCAGCTAGAGCTGACTCCACATCCTCCTGAGGCTGCTGCTTTTTTCCCCCTCTCCTGCCCAAACTGCCTCCTTTTATAGCTTCTCCTGTCTCCGCCCCCTCCTCCTCCTTTCTCATGGGGAGGGTGAGCCAGAAGTGAGCCTGGGGTGAGGCTCAGCCTCAGCCACTCTGCAGCTCCAGAGGACTCTCTCACAGTAAGTCCTTGCCTGCGCTGGCTCTTTCCCTCCCCCACTACACTTGGCTAGCAGGGCTGCGTACCACCTGCCACTCGTTAATGTAGCACAAGTGGTACGTACCACTGGTTGAAAAGCCCTGGATTAGAGTATGTTAGAAAGAAGGAATTGAAAAAGAAGTCTTTCCAAAAGGAAAGGAAGAAATCAAGAAAAAATTAAGGAAATTATTGGTCCATTAGTGGGGGAAAGTGGCAAGAAGATGACAAGCAACAGGGAGAAAGCAGAACTATTTAGCTCGTTTTTTGCATCTGTCTTTACACAAAGGGAAAAAACAGACCAACCTATCAAAAATAGTGCCATAAAAAACAGATTAGAAACACAAGTTAAGATAGGCAAGAAAATGGTAAGTGAGCGCCTGTCCAGCCTAGACGAGTTCAAATCACCAGGACCAGATGGATTACACCCCAAGGTTCTCAAGGAACTGACAGATGTGATCTTAGAACCACTGAACTATATTTTTCAAAGATCCTGGAGCACTGGGGAACTACCAGAGGACTGAAAAAGAGCTGATGTAGTTCCCCTCTTCAAAAATCTAACAAAATGAAATTCAATGGTGAAAAAAGTAAGGTTCTACATTTAGGCAAGAAAAACCAAATGTACAGGTATAGTATAGGTCAGGGGTCGGCAACCTTAAACACTCAAAGAGCCACTTTGGATCCGTTTCTCACAGAAAAGAAAACATTGGGAACCACAAAACCCTTTTGACATCTAAAATGAAGATAACACTGCATATATACTTTTTTACCTTTATGCTACGTATAAAAAAACTACAGTGTGTTGCATTTATGAAATCAATGAACTGCTACAAAGAAAAGACATTTTTATGCCAGAGAAAGAGGGGAAAAAAACCTTTCTCCTTCATCCCAACAGGTGAAAACAATTTTAGTAACTTATCTACCATCTTTAAATACAGTATAATTATCCCCATACCTCATCTCTTAATTAAAAAAAATAAAAATATTTCATGGAAACTAATCAAGGAGAGAAGCAACCTGGAACTAAGGAGAAACTTCCTGACAGTTAGAACAATTAACCAGTGGAACAACCTGCCTCCAGAAGCGGTGAATGCTGCAACACTGGAAGTTTTTAAGAAGAGATTGGACAGCCATTTGTCTGAAATGGTATAGGGTTTCCTGCCTGAGCAGGGGGTTGAACTAGATGACCTCCAAGGTTCCTTCCAACTTTATTATTATTATTATTATTATTATTATTATTATTATTATTATTATTATTATTATTATTATTATTATTATTATTATTAT